TGTCATGATATTCCGTTAGACATTGTTGCGTCTTCATACATAGACAGCGGAAGATGTAGGCGACGCAGCGAGGGGGAGGTCGAGGGTCTTAAATCTCCCTTTTTTCTCTGTCCTCTCTTGGTATCAGATTGCTCTATCCAACCTGTTAGGTGGTGTCATGAGGCAGCAGCCAAAGGCTCGGTTCTTCCAGTGCCCGTGGGCTTCTGATTTCGGGCTTCTGGGGGTCTCCGCGCCCCCGGCCCTGGGCGCCCCTCCGCGCCGGGCCCTTTCCTGCGCCCCCCAGCCCCTCTCCGGAGCCTCGCCTCGCGGAAGCCCCCCCGCCGCCCCCCGCTGGCTGGGCTTCCTTGTCCCGGGCGCTGGTCCTCCAGCCCCCGGCCCGCGGGTACTTGGGTTTCAGTGCGCAGAGGGCGCCGGAACTGGGCGAGCCGGGCGGACGGGCTGGGTACCTCCCGGCTGCGCCTGGCGCGGAGTCCACTGGCCGGCTCAAAGGTCCGGGAACCAGGGCGTGCTAGCGGCCTGCGCCGGCCAGGGTCCTGGGGAGGGACCGAAGCTCAGCCTGGGCAAAGAGGAAGCCACAGGGCCAGGAAGAGGGCAGGCTGCCCAATGGCCAGGGCGCGCGCCCCACGGGCCCCTTAACGCGGGGAGGTGGCCCCAGTGCCCTTGGAGAGATGTGGGCAGCTCTTGCAGTCTCCGGGCCTCCCCAGGGGCAGCTCCAGGGTGGGTGCTGGGCAGGGTGGTGCCCCAGTCGGGCACTGCAGCTTTCTGCCTGGGTTGGCTCCTGACTCCAGACCTACAGGCTCCGGAAATCCTACAAGGGCCCGGTCTGCAAGGACACGCCCTTGCCCAGCGGAGGGGGCAGTGGATGGGAAGCCTGCGGCCCTACCTCACAGGCAGCATCAGTCCGCTCACCCTGCTGGCCAGCACCAGGGCGTGGCTGTGCCCAGCTTGGCGGATGAGTTTATCCTTCTTTGGGGCTGTTCAGAGGGCATCAGGCCGCTGGGGGGGTGGGAAGCCCAGGCTTGCCTAGCCGGACCACATCGCTGAGGGCCGTCAGGTGGCCCGAGGCTGCTCTGAAGACCTTGCCTCACCTGGAACACGCTGGTGGTACCACCCGCTTCCTTGCTGTCACCCTGTTCCCACAGCGCTGCCCTCCCCCAGAGCGGGAGGAAGTACCTTGTGCTGTGGGTTTTGGGGACCGGAAGCAAGCACTAGTGGGGCTTAGCCCGGGTGTGGAGGAGGGGAGAGGAGGAAATGCCGACATCGCGTACCACCTGCTGGCCCCTGCCCGCCAGTTCCCCAGCAAACCCCAGACGCCTGCCCCCAGGGAGCTGCTCTGCTGAGCACAGTGAAGGGGAACTGGAGTCATGGCTTCCCAGGGTGGGGAGAAGTGCAACTGGAGGGTGAGGGAGGGAGTTGGTCATTTCCTCCACCCCCAGCCCCGGCCCCTGGCGGGCTGCTCCTGGGCCTGTCATCTCCTCTCCTCCCTTTTGCCTCTCTCCTCCCCCCCCCCCCCCATACTGTCCTTGGGGGACGGGATCAGGCTCCACCTCTCCATCCTCTTCCTCAGGCATGGCGCTGACTGTGGACGTCATGGGGCCAGCGCCCTGGGGCTTCCGCATCACTGGGGGCAGGGATTTCCACACGCCCATCATGGTGACCAAGGTAAGGGCCACTCCGGGAGAGCAAGAGGCATCCCCAAAGTTAGGGTTGGCTCTGTTTACCTGGTCCCCACAGACACCTTTCCTTCTTTGTTCTGGAACCAGAGGTCTGCTTCTGGGAGTGCTGGTCCAGGGAGGGCTGGGACCCTGTTGCCACCGGGATGTGGTCGCCAGGTCAGGAGCAGGCTTCTGGGTAGTGAAAGGGAGCTGGGCCAAGGGACCTGCTGGGTTGCCAGCCCCATACCTGCTGGTAGCCCTTTCAGGTGGTTATGAGAACAGGAGCCCCTCAGTTCTTGGCAGTTTCACCTTGACCCAGGCCGGGCCGGGCAGCATTCACACAGGGGGCTGGTGTGCGGGCGGGCAGTCACCAGCACGTCACCGTTTGCACTGGCAGGGCTCTGTCTGGGAGTATCTCCAAGCACAGTTCCTGAAATTCCGTCATCACATACTCTTTGGAGAGAGGGGCTGCCACTGCAGCTTCGAGGGCACTAGCTGATTAGCTGGGCAGATACCGAAGGGCAGGGAGAGAGGTAGTAAAGGGGGACACGGCCAGCCTGGTTCAAACCAGCTTCTGTGTTTCTTGGGCAGGACAGAGGGAATCCCCCCCCTCCCTCCCTGCCTGTCACCACTGTGAGCCGGGGTACCTCAGACTGCCTGCACCTCATCCCCTACAGGTAACGGAGCGGGGCAAGGCCCAGGCTGCTGACCTCCGGCCTGGTGACATCATCGTGGCCATCAATGGGGAGGATGCCCAGGGCATGCTCCACGCGGAGGCCCAGAGCAAGATCCGCCAGAGCCCCTCGCCCCTGCGGCTGCAGCTGGACCGGTAGGCTCTCTGCATCTGCTGGGCCCGCCAGCATTCCTCTCCCCTCGGCCAGCACAGGGCTGGGGCCGCCCTCCCCCACCTGCCTTTTCAGCTCATCCTGAGAAGGTCCCGGGCTCCTGGCCTGCAGGCCTTCAGCTGGGTGGGCCTAGGGGTGTCCCTGTGCCTGGCTGGGCATGTAGCCACAGGTAGGGCAGGCTGGCATCAGCCACCTGGATGCCCGGGTTTGACTGGTTCCCAAGTGTGCGGGCTACAGGGCGTGGGCATGAAGTGGGTTGAAGAGGGAAAGGTGTGCCTTAGGCTGGGTCTCCAGGGCCTCTGCCTCCAAGAGGGCATGACCTTTGTTCAGGTAGAGCTGCAGGGAGGGAGGTGAGGAGTTTGGGGGTTCACTCCCCCGCCCCCCCCCCCGGACTAAAGTCTTCCCCTCTTTAAACCAAAGCCCTGGAACAAAGCTAAAAAAAACCTTTGCCTGTTTGAA